GTTCGATGAGTTGATTAATGTACTCTAAATTTTCCTCTAATGGGTTCAACTTGAATGATCCGTGATGAGAAGTTGAGAACCTTGGTGTTTCAGACTGATAGACAACTTTAGATTTAGATTTAGATTCCTTTGATGATGAGTTCAAAGGCTGTTCAGGTTGATCGAAAAAGAAAAAAGAGGCGTCAAAATAAGGATTTTCCGACTGAGATGGAACTTTGGATTTCTTTGAAGATGACCGCAGAAACGGATTGGAGTGTGTCTCGGTGTAGTCAGACAAAACAATCGGATCATCGGAGTAATTTTCAGGCTGATAAGAAGCTCTAGGTCTCTTTGATGATGAGCTCACTGATCGTGTATGCTTGTTAGAGAATATGAAAGAAACATCGGAGTATGTTTCCGGTTGGTAGTCAGGTTTAGTCTTTGGCAACAATTCAGTTTCCCGCTTTCTGGACTTTGTTTTTGTTTGGCGCTTTCTTTCTCGTTTGTAATCATACGAAGAGCTGTATTTGCTCTGACCAAAGATCCCCAGATGATCTCGACGATTCTGGTTGCCGAAAATGTCCCCGGAAGGTGACATCGATGGAGCATGCTTAGTTTCTGGAACGCCAAAGATGTCCAGGTTTGGTTCGGTGGTGACTCGTTGAGTCCTGGAGCTCGGGTGCAGCAGCTGCTTTTCTCGCATAATCTTGGCAAACAGATTTGCATCGTCTCGAGGGGGCGGTGGATCACGAGACTTCCTGAGACCTGATTTCAAACTTCGCTTCAAGTGCTGCTCACGATCGTTGGACTTGGCGTGGTTGTGGTTCCTCTGCATCCGACGTCCCGTCAGGTAGTTGACATCGTTAAAGTGGTGGTGGCCATTCATGGCGACCAACCAGTGGAAACTGTCGATAGTTTGTTTCAGGAATGACTTTCTTTGAAAAAGAACGTTTTTGTTCGATGATGAAATGAGCAACCTAATCACAGGCCAATCAGAGGCGTCAGAGGCGTGTGTACCCGTGAACGAAAACTGCCCCTTCGGACATGACATGTCCACCCAACGTTCTTATTGTCAACGTTTTAGCAATGAGAAAGGAGTACATTTAATAACATTTTATTAACCTTAGGGTGCACAGTGGGGTAGAATTGTGATGAACTTCAGTGTATTCCAGAATGAGAATTACATACTTCGAGGGATTGTTCACACCGGTAATAGAGAGAGACAGAGAGAACAGGAGAGGAGGAGGGGAGAATGAGAGGTGCTTTGATACTGCACTATCCATATTTCAGAGAAGCCCATCGTCAAGAGACCATTTTTGTTATTTGTTTTGTTTTTTCCTAGTTTGAATCCTTTTTACTAGCCTTTTCCTCTTCTTCAAAGTTGATCCAGCTTTGTTCCACAATAGCTGCCACCCGTTTCTCGTACTCCCGTCGATTTTCTTGGTAGAGCTGGGCGGCAAGAGAATTTGCCGGTGAATTGGGGTTAGGCTCATCCAACAGTGACTGAATTGAAGTTAGTATGGCGGAGACGTCATAAGTAGGACTCCAACGGTTTTGAAGGATATCGAGGCAGATGCTTCCATCGGCATATACGTTCGGGTGAAACATTTTTGATATGAAACGCACCACTGGTGCCTTATTTGGGTATTCTTCTGTAAACTCAAGCGTCAGCTTGAAGGTGCCGTCTTCGAAGGGAGTATCACGAGGTCCAAAGATGACTGCATTCCACAGCATAATATTGTTGTCGGTGGGCGCACCGCTGACTCCTGCGGGTGGGTCCTCTTGGAGACGCTTGAAGTCGCGCATCAGTCGTCGTCGAGCTGGGGTAGACATCGTAGACCTGAGTGTGGTGAAAATAAAACAAAAACCAAAACAAAGATAATTAGTTAATTGGTGATTGCACTAAGAAGCAATGCCACTGTTGTTGACGCTACAGCAGCTGCAATCATTTGTTGTGTCCATTTGATGTGACTCACTAGAATATCAGAAGTGCGAATGCGCAGGCTGATGCGTATGTCGCAATGAAGAGGGAGAGGAGGCCTGGATGGCCGAGGATCAGCAGAGGAAACGGTGGCTGCGGTGACCAGGGAGGAACTCTTCACCTTTTTAGGGTCAGCTGAAGAGTGGTTTCAGGTGCTGGAGCAGATTTTGGAACTGGGGCGAGAGAGGGAGAGGAGAGAGAATCGCACTCAGGGTCACCTCGCGATAACACACGACTGAATGTACACTTCAACACAAACACAGACTCTCTCTCTATCTCACAGACAGCAAAGGCTTCTCTATTTGCGCCCAAGTTCGAAAGACTGACTTTACTCTCCGCAGTGCTTCACAAGTGCTGCCCTCTGTAGCACGGTGAACGTTAAGACTGCTCGTCACGGGTGGCTGGAAAAAAGCACTCTTTTTCTGCATAAGGAGCAGTCGTAGAAGACGGGACAACGTTCTGTTTTCTTTTCTTCTGTACAGCTGCTGCTGAAACTGCTGCATTTGTACGAACGCTTGTACGCTGATTGCACTGTTAAAGAAACCAGTGGGCGAAGAAGAACCAGCAAAGATGTGCAGAGAAAATACTTTGTTGCGTCGCAAACTTTGCTCTGCACTGCTTTGCTTTGCTTTTCTCTGTACAACAGCCTCCAACGAAACGGCGCCCTTGACAGTGCACNTTGTACGCTGATTGCACTGTTGAAGAAACCAGTGGGCGAAAAAGAACCAGCGAAGATGTGCAGAGAAAATACTTTGTTGCGTCGCAAACTTTGCTCTGCACTGCTTTGCTTTGCTTTTCTCTGTACAACAGCCTCCAACGAAACGGCGCCCTTGACAGTGCACTGCAGCTAATGCAGCTAAAGATCTATTTTCGGGTTATTCGGGCGCGGGTCGATGGGTTGAAAAGTGCTACCGTATTGAAGTGCCATTCGTACACCAAATGGTGAGTGGTGCCATCAAATGTCAGCATCGACGGACAGTACGGCAACTAAACGAGAGAGCACGATGTCAAGTGGCCATACTAGAACGACCATAAATCACTGTAACGGCAAATTCCATTGCAAGCTTGAATGACAGCATGTGACACATCTCATTCAAAAGAAACTGTTGTGCCGCTTTTTCTGTTTGTTCTTACGCTTCTGTTGATTAGCATTCAAAGGGGAAAAGTCCTTCCGCCAATGCAAAACCACCGTTGCACGCAATCGTAAAAGAGAAAAAAATGTAGACTTGACCGTTTTACACTTTTTCTCCCCTGAAGATGAACCGTGCAAATTAATNGACCACCGTTGCACGCAATCGTAAAAGAGAAAAAAATGTAGACTTGACCGTTTTACTCTTTTTCTCCCCTGAAGATGAACCGTGCAAATTAATTCGATAACGGCCCCTTCAATGTCTGGACGTTGGCAACAGCAGCTACAGCAGCAGCAGTAGCTAAGTTACTGGGAACTAAACACGGTGGACAAACAAAAATATTTTGGTCAGCAACGGCGGTCATTCGCACCATTTCCAACGTCAACGGCAAATACGCTCTCATCTGCAGACCTCATTAAGCTAATATTAGATTGCCACTTAGGCCTTTGTGGAGATTAGTTTGAGGAGAGGGCTGCTGACTTTCTTTATTTGGTAAACTGAAACTCGGTGGATTAGGAATGCGACGGTGTCTTTGACACTGCCAGAGCAGTGTGGACAGCAGTGTTCAGCAAGTACAGAAGAACAGAAGCAAAACGGCAGAATGCAAGAAGAAGGAAAATGTGAAAAATATGTGACGAACTGCTCACTGTGCTACTGGCTTTGGTGGTACGTACGCCCACGGAGGAAAAAAAGAAATCAGCAATGCATTTGTTCGCTGTTTGACGGGAAAAGGTGCCCCTGCATCAGTGGAATGGCGGAGATGGGGACGCATCAGACTGATGGTAAGCTGCTGTTGCTGACCAAACAGTGGTCGTCTCAGAGAGGGAAAAAAGACTGGCCACCACAGCACCACAGTGAGGACTCACAGAGGAGGCCCATGTCTTATTATGGAAGCGATGGAGGGAAGGCGCCAAGAAATGGACGAATGCTGCACTGCTGCTGCTGATGCTGCTGGGAAAGAGAACATGGAAATGTGCGTCTGTGCATGCAACTGTGCACAGGCTGCAACTGTGCGAGAGAAAAAGCCATGGTAGCCGAGAGAAGCAAAATGAGACACCGAAACCAAGTGAGGAGATTTCTATTGAAGAGAAACTGGCTAAAGACTCACTGACTGACTGACTTGGTGATGTGAAAAAGAAGAAGAAGTAGAAGAGGACTAAAGTGAAATGTGGAAGAGTGGACGAAGACGACGGCGACAGCGACAGCGACAGGTGCCACCGGTGAGATGATGATCATCATCGGAGGACTAAGAGAAGCTGACCACCACCACCATTACGACCAGCAGTGTCTTTGTTCACCAGCTCAGGAAAGACAGTGGACGGTGTACGACGGTGATCACCACTACCATCATCATCATCAGTAGCAGTATTATCTCTGAACATCAGCAGTGACCACCGCCATTAAAACCGACTGTACGTTTCACTGTCACACTCAGTGTTTCGAACGCAACTCGTGGACATTGGACGCCTTATTTGGCAGCGCCACAACACTGCTGCACTTTGCCACTGTGTTGGCTGTCGACTCTGCAATCATACTGTGGAGAATCGAAGAAGTACATCGAGAAACCCCCACTAAAAGGCAAAGCAAAGTGAAGGCGGGGTGGCACTTTGCCCAGCTCCAGCTGTGTCGGCGTCCAGAGTTCTTGCACTGTTTGGGGGGCTGATGCTGCTCTAATCACCACCTCGCTAATCAGCATCAGCATCACATCTTCAACCCCATCAAGTCTGTCACCACTTTCACCACCATCATCACCAGCAAGACTGCATCAGCAATCCATGCAAGCCCATCAGCACTTTATTAATAAAATCAGCCCTTTTGCCTGCCTCTGCAAAACTTCACCCAGCGCCAGCTCGCCGTGTCTAGCCGACGCCGACTAAATTTGGTGCATCGATAGGCAGAAAAAGAGTAGCTACATCTCATCGTGGGAACAATACTTGCTGCGCTTTCACTTCTTCTTCTTCTCCCACTGATTTTCAGACAGTACCTCACATTCGCACACACGCGCACTTTTTTCTTGTTATCGGGCAGAAACATATCGCACCCCTTGCAGAAAAAAATTGGTACAGTAGCACAGAGCGCACAACAGCTGCCAGACACAATACCAGCACCAGTACCAGCCTCTGACACTTTGCCTAGCGCCGCCGCCAGCATCAGTGGTCTCTCGCTTCTTCGGCTTCTTCGGCTCAAGCCATCTCTCTGCTTCGCTCTCAAGGTGAGTCCACAGTGTGTGTATTACCAACAAATTATTGCCTGTGTAACAATCTGATATTGGCTCAATCCAGTGGCGGCGGATCTTCAACTCACGTCTCACTCACGTCCGTCATCACTTGTGTCGTTTTCTATTTATAAAGCACACACACACACAGTTCACTCCCGACGACAGTTCACTCTCACTGCGCTCACGCCGGCAATAATCGTCGGATAATCACCCACTTCAGTCTGCAGACTATCGCATCTCATTGGGCAGTTAGCATTCGAAATTGTTGCCAGTTGGCTATAATTAAAAGTCGTCCGTCTGTAAGCCTTTGCCTTGCTTTATTTTCTCTTTCTCTTTTTAGCTTTGTGGTTGTTGGTCATCGGGTGTTAGGGATATTACTGCTATTATTTACTGCTTCTACTAAGCACATCCACACTGGAGGCCACTTAGTTAGATTGAAGTGTGTACACAAACTCGTCCACAGATTGAGATTCAATTGAGATTGTCCCCTGCCCACCACTGTACTATTTCTTCTTCTTCGTCTTGAGAGCGTTTGTTTTCGAATGTGTGTGTGTGTGTGTTTGTCGCATTCATTGTCGTCCATCGGCCGCACCATCACAGTGCAAAAACAGGAACTGATCAACTGGCCTCTCTTTGTGTGTGCGTGTTCATTGTAAGTCCTTTCAGTAGTGTTTAGCAAAGGATAGTGAAATTGATTTCACTTTCGATACTGTCGCCGACACGCAAGCAAGCACAATTGCCTCCTCCGCTGCCGCCGCTGTGGGCGACAATTGACAACAATTGTGTCCGACGGGTGGACTCAATTTCTCTGCTTCCTTTCCTCTCCTTTTCTTTTCTTTAACTTTCTAGCCATTTCCAGGCCTTCATCGGCTCGGTCAGTGGCCTACATCCTACACCTAACTACAACAACAGTTTGTCTCCCAGTTGTGTGACACAACTCTTTGCACAATCTCCCAATGGCCAGTCAATTAGTCGCCATGCACTCTTTGTTGATTTCAACAATCTGCTGAGCAGTCTTGAACTTTGATTTGTCTCCACGCTGTGTTCAGCGACTAGGTCAGTGGTGAAGAATTGGTCGATCTTCAATATTGTGATCGGCTGCAGTCTTCTCATTGAAAAAGAGGGAGGACGCGGCTGTCGCTAATGACACCGATGCAATCTCTCTTCAGGCACTTTCTTCTTCTTCTCCCTCTTTTTGTTTCTGTTTCTTTTCCGTTTTGCGTTTTCCGACTGCTGTTGTTTTACTGCTCTGCTCTTCACTGCACCGTCTTGCAGCCGCCCTTTAATCCTTGACTTTGGCGAACGTCTACTTTCCAGCGACCAAGGAGTGAAAGAGTTTTAAAACTCGCTATTTGTTGTCTCGGTTTAGTCTGCACTTCACGAGTTGTTGAGATTACACTGCCTTCCCCACTGTTCAGCCACCAAAGGGGGCTCTAAAAATAGACCCTTGCCCCATTGACGCGCGCGCCTGTGTTCTGTGCTTTGTGTGTGGGTGATAATCACTGATCTTTGTGATGTGATCTTTAACTTTCCATTGTTGCACTTTTTTCCACTCTCCGCAGAATCTACACAATCTGAAGAGGGGAGGCAAAGAACGGGACAGTCACTTCAGAAAGAAGAACGGCAGCAGCGACTCAAGAGAAGTTCAACAGTTTGGCAGAGCAACTTCACTACTCTACTCCTCAATTCCTTTTACTTTCTTCTGTGATAAATTCAACCCGTCTGCAGTGATGATGCATAGTGAATGATCTTTTTGCCACGTTTAGCTTAGGAAATTACAATTTGCAATTTGGAAGAGACGAGGGGTGAGAGCAGTCAATCCACCCTGAATCATGGACTCGCTTCGGAAGAAAATGGGTACATCTTCTTTTGTGCCTCTTTGCTGGCTGCTGCTGCTGCTGCTGCTGTTCACGTTCGTTTCCGTTGAACTGGCTGAAACAGCAAAACTGGAAAGGCCCACCCACATCAACCAGCACCTTCAACATCAGTTTCATCAGCCGCAGCAGTATGCATGGGCAAATGTAAGCAATGATTCGAAGAATTACACAAAGTAAGTAATTAGGAGAGAAAGGGAGAAAAGTTGGTAGAACAGACAGCGACAGAGACAGACTTGCCTAGTCAGCAAGACAATAGCAAAACTTATAACTACTTGATTGGAGCCGATGATCAGGAAGGAAAAAGGGAAGAGGGAAAGCCGCGGCTGATGATCAGCAAAGAGCAATGCGGCAGTGCTGGGTGCCCCTAATGAGCCGCCAGTCTGTGTGCCGTCTCGGTGGTTTTTCCCCTCCTTTTTCAGTACTATCTAATTGGCAGCACACGAAGCTCACACGAGAGTTCATCTGATTAGTAAACGGTATTCTATTTGCAGAAGATGGGGAAAGCGTGCTCGCTTTTCATCACCTCCTCTCTTCCTTTCTTTATCAAATTAGTCAATTCTCTCTTTTCTTCCTACGTAATTATTATTCACACGCTGTCGTTTATCCTCCTTTTCTTCATTTTCATCTTCTTTTTTTCATTATTTACACTCTTTAGTCACTCGGTGGTGAAGATTTTAGAGCGCAACATTCACCTGCTCTTTGACAGCCCTGTTAAAAATAGAAGTTCATCGGGTGAGGAAGAGGTAAGTGTTGCTGCTGCTGCTGCTGCTTAAGACAATTGCAATCTTTCAGATCTATGTTTGCGTTTTCGATGAGATTGGAGGGGAAACGGGATAGACAGATTGAGGAAGGAGGGGGAAGGGAAACGATGATGATGATGATAATGATGGCAGTGCACTAACTTTCGATAATCGGCAATAATGACACTCTATAAACATTTTCCCCCTCTTCCTTTAGCATGAAGTACTATGGTTCGACAATGGCGACGACACTGCCGCCGCCAACTCCTCTTCCCGGTACGCCTTTGTTCGCCTCAGTCCACAGACGAGCAGTCGAGTGAAGCGAGACCTGCACGGCCATGCTGGGGCGCCGCACTTTCTCACGCACAACCTGCAATCGTGGATCGATTCAGAGCACTATGCCGCCACCTCAGAGGCGGCGCGGAACTTTGTCCACCGAAGGCCAACTCGTGACAGCCATCACCACAACCGCCACAGCCACGACCACAATCATCACCACCACCACCACCAGCCCCGTTACCACAGAGACTTGTCACTGGACGACATGGACATTGCCGAAGAGGAGCTGGACAATGTGGGCACGACGTACCGAGACAGCGGCGCCTCCGCCTCCACTGTCGACGAGCTGCACAACTCTCGCATTGTGCCCTCCTTTGTTCTCAACCGCTACCACCCTCTGTCGGAGGTGTACAAGTTCCTCGATGACGTGGAGTCGCGCACGCCAGGCGTCACCGTCTTCACCATTGGCCACACGCACGAGAACCGGCCGATCAAAGCGATTGAGGTGCTGAACCGACCGTCCGACCCGCGTTTCGTCTGGATCGACGCCTGCACGCACGCCCGCGAATGGGTCACCGTGACCACCTCGCTGTACGTCCTGGAGCAGACCATCCTCCAGAAGATTCCCCTCAATTTCATCATCGTCCCCGTGCTGAACGTCGACGGGTACGTGTACACGTGGACGAAGGACAGGATGTGGCGGAAGAACCGCCGACCGTACGAGGCGAGTCGCCTCTCCGCGCACGCAATGCCCGACCGGTGCACGGGCGTCGATCTCAACCGCAACTACGACATCAACTTTGGCGGCGAGGGCTCCAGCGGCAACGCCTGCTCTTACCTCTACCAGGGCCCCTTTCCCTTCTCCGAGCCGGAGGTGAAGGCGGCGGCGGAGCTGCTGGCGAAGAACCGCCACCGCATCAAGATGACCCTCTCACTGCACAGCTTCAACCAGCTGTGGGCCAGTCCGAATGCCTTCACCACGGCGAGGACCGCTGACCACGCCCACCACATGAGAGTGCTGAACGCAGTGGGCAAGGCGGTGCAGGCTACCAATGGCGTCAAGTACGACGTCGGACCGTTAGGAGCCAGCCTCTACCTGGGCTCCGGCTTCATGATGGACTGGATCTACCACAAACTGGGCATAAGGGACGCCTACCTGGTGGAGCTGCGTGATAAGGGCTTCCATGGGTTTATCCTCCCAGCAGAGCAGATCTGGCCAACGGCCACGGAGACCTGGGCTGGTTTGCGAGCGGCAATGAAGGCCATCTTTGGCGTTTAAAAAGCTGCTGCTGTTGGTGGTCTTCGTAGCTGTGGTGTCCTTCCTTTTCTCTCTCTCTCTCTCTCTCTCCTTTCTTGATTCTCAGTCAGTCATTTTCTTTTCCCTTATTTTTGTATTTGGATCAGTGTTATTGTGCGTGCGTGAGCGTGGAAGTATTTGTTGTTGATTAATTATAAAAATAAAAAAAGTTAAAAAAAATTAATGAGATTACTTTTTCGTGCAGATTTCAACTGACAGATCAAGGAATGATGTCAAAAGAAAAAAAGTTGATACAAACAAATTAGCTTCATGTCTACAGAGATTTGATTTCTTTCTAAAGCAAGGCCACTACGATGCTAATTTTAATGTGAATAAAAATTGAGTGAGCACTGTTGACATTTGGCTACACAACAGTCTCAAGCGGCAATACTGTACCGGAATGAAAGAATATGTGATACTCCATCGAAATGCTGAATTGATAATTGAAAATTATTACCCTATGCTCTCCGATCCATTCGCCATTCGACCGACCGCTGGGAATGACCTATCAAGTGTTATGCAAAGTAAGCAATGCAAAGTAGAGATATCAGCTTTTTAATAGAACAGCATCGATTAACCTTGCCACTCAATCAGTGGGCGTGTACAGGCGGTCAGTTCAATGATGCAGTGGCACTGTACGACTGTGTGACACTGACCACGCTGATTGTCAATTACTTCAAAAATTTTTTCTCTTTCTTACGAAACATGATTTGCCTTTTTCCTATTGCTTTAAGATTATAAAAATAGATTGACTAGTTAAAACAAAGTTTTGTCTTGTTAAAGTGGATTTAAGCGGAAATGACTTGCATTTGAAAATATAGCCGCTGCCCCCTCTAACTTGGCACTGCAAAACCGAAATTTACATACCGCCTGGGTCTGCAACTTTTGCCAGCCAAACCAATTCCCTGCAAGCACAGAACGGGTGAGAAGGTCTCTTGACGATCAAACTTTTAAACCAAATATTTAAATATTCGGTAGAGTCGATTAGCAGCCGCCGACATCAGCGACAGTGGCAGCATCATCATCAGCATCCACTATAAAAGCAACTGTCGCCACCAACGAAAGAACCCGCATCAGATTTTAAAGTTGAATCTACCACAGCTGCTCGTCGTTCACTAAAACAGAGTTCCATTTTTGTCCACTTTCCACATTACTTTTCCACTTCTCCGAACAATCACAATGAAGAGCGTCCAAGTTCAACCTCAACGACCGAATTCCCTTTCACTGAGTGGCATCCTCTGCTTGGCAGTGCTGATCATCGCCTGTCTGGTCCTTCTGCTGGAGCCAGCCAACGGACAGATCACCTTCTCGAAGGACTGGCGAGCCGGTGGCAAGCGATCAGGAAGTGCTGCCCTCACCGCTCATGGCATTTCAGTGCTCGATGTGCCCTGTGACCAGCTGGCAGAGTACTCCAGTACAAAGATTCGTGATCTGGTTCGGGTAAGCTAGCAACAACCAGAGTGGTATTGGCGGTGATGGTGGGGATGGCAATTGTAGTGGCAAATGTGGTGGTCGCCCACAGCAGAGACAAACACTGCTGCAATAACAAGACAGCTTAAAGCTGCTGCAGTTGCAGTTGCACTTGCTTATCCCAGTCACCACTGATATCAGATGCCTTTTAATTAATTCCTTCTTCTTGGCCTTCGGTAATTACCTTTTTACTCTCTCCCCTACAGAGAGAAGCGGTCGCCCTTCTGCAGTGTGAATTCAATGTAAACAACAAGAATGAGCTGGTCAACACCAAGAAGTGAGATGGTCTAATGAAGCTTCATTACCTTTCATTGCAATTTAGGATTAGTAGAGTTGCTATGCACGCCATTTTTCTCTAAACGTTTTTGGCCGGGCCTGATGGAGAGTCCTGATGAACGTCCACTCTCGCCCACATTGCCACACATTGACTCCTAAGCAAACACAATTTTCCTACCTTCATCGAATGTGCACACCTTTACCTTACGTTTCCTAGAACAAACTGTCTGCCGAAGATTCTGTCTGCACACACACACTCACTCACTCACTCACAATTGTCTTGACAAAACACAAAACGCCAAATGTTTTCTTTCCTCCTCTTCCTCAAAGTCCTCCTCAAATGTGAAGAGAAGAGCAGAGTTATTAAAACACTGAATAAATGACCAGTTCTTTAATGCGATACGCACTTGATTTCGATCTGTTTGAACGGTGGCAACAGCAAAAATAGTGTTTGGGTAAACATAACTAGATTTCCTGTTGTTGCTCAGTTGATGGTTCAATGGTGGTCGTCAAGAAGGTACTATCGACGTTGTCGTTGCTGTTGCTGTTGTTGTCAGCATGGACCTGCTTTACGTGAACCGTCAGGTGACTCTGTCGAGAGTAAGTTTTTGAACAGAAATCGCAGACGTAGTTTTTCTCCTTCGTATGCATCCTTATGTGCATTTTCATGTCGTGCTTTCGATGACATCGGTACTGACACTTAGGCCAATCGCAGGCGATCCGCTTTTCCTGCTGGTGCACCAGCTTGTGGTACCGCAGTTGCGATCCGCTGACGAACCGTGCTTGGCAGCCGGGAAAATCACAGCCAAAAGGTTTGTCGTTCTGGTGAAGAGCACCGATGTGTTTTCTCAGATTGGATTTCGTGGCGAAGCGTTGATCACAGTCAAGCCAGTTGCAGACGAACGGCTTCCTGCCCTCATGACGCATTTGGTGAGCGGTCAAGTTGCTCTTCTGACTGAAGGTTTTAGTGCACATTGGGTAAGGGCACACATAAGGGCGTTCACCAGTGTGAATCCGGTAATGTCTGAAAAAAGGAGAAGGCGTTTAGAGAGACAAACAAGGGTGCAAAAATTGGGAGGAGGGCTTACGCTTTAAGAGAGGATGCCTGGTTAAAGGACATCCCACAATCGATCCATTCACAACGATAGGGCCTCTCTCCGGTGTGAATGCGATGATGATCTTGCAGATGCCAAGCAGAGGAGCCAATGTAATCGCAGTCTGGCCAATCGCAGGCGTATCTACTTCGTTTATTTTTCCCTTTTCTTCTTTTGCTCGTTGAAGAGAATTCTGTTACCTCTGCTTTCAACTTCACTTTTGGCCTTCGCTTGGTCTGGACTGCTGGTTGCTGTTGCTGTTCTGAAAAGTCCTCAGAGTGTGCTGCTTCATGTGACGGAGAATGAGAGGATAGCGAATGAGCTGAGATCGAGTTGAGATCATCTTTAGATGATTGTGGTGCTGAAGGTGGTGGCTTGATGTGCGTCGTAAAAAGGTGGGACTGTACTTCAAGTAAGTTTTCAGCAAGAAAAGTGCACAGTTTGCATTTATACCGCGTAATAATTACTTCTTCTATAAAGGTGTTCCAAATGTTTGACTGACCGTCGACGTCCTCCTCGTTTTCGTTCTCTATGCAGCCACTGTCAATGGCTTCATGGTGAAAGGAAGAGATATCAGACACATTTTGATTACAATCCGTGACCTGATGAATTCCGTCTGTCTTGGCATCCGTGACCACTGAGTCAGCTAATTTTAGAGGAATGTTGCAAAGATTAAATTCACTTGCCGTAGCGTTGGCACAACTTTGAAGGAATAAATCTCCTGCGGTATTGTCCTCTTCATTTGCAGTGTTAATGAAGTCCATCAAACTCACATTTTGCAGTTCATTATCGTCGTTCTTTGACATGTAAAGCAAGAGCTGTTCATTCTCTTCAATAGTTGGACATCCGATATTGATCTGACCAAGAAGAGCCATTTCCTCCTCATTTTCAATGGTTCGCAGAAGGTCCGAATCATTTGGAAGGACAAATGTTCCCTCGTTTAGCCCCAGAGAGCAATCATCGTGAATTGAACTGTCTTCTAGCGACATTTTGTAGGCTTCCAGTGCAAGTTGTTAAAATGCACATGAATAAATCATCGGCAATATTTTCCTTATAAAAGGTTCAGCTGCACTCCTTTAGATGCAGTGGGATTTTTTAAACAAGATTTAATTAGACTGCAGGAAAATATTTGCACAATGCAAGAATGGTGGTGGTAACTATAAATTCATAGTTTTCTCGGTATCATTTCAATTTTTTTCGCAGAACTGAGCACCTTATCTGGCGGGACGAGACTGATTACGGGAAAGTGAGAGGTCATCATTCTAGTTGGACAACGGGACACAAATAAACACGAGAGAAAACCGTCACAACAACTTAACTCACAGCGACGCTCAGGCTGACGCAGACGCCACAGAATGAGTTAAAATAGAAAGTAGAAAAAGATAAGTTGATTCGGTATTCGGTCTACCCTTAACACTTTGGCATTAAACATTGGCACAAAAAAGACCCCGATTTAATTAAAAAATCTACTATGTTATCACTTATTTATTTAACAATCAAGTTTTTGTACATTCAAGCTATGAGGATAATAAGTTCCCGTAAGAAGGAGGTTTTGAGTGGGGTGCACTTGCTGTTTGCATTTTTTTCTGCAGGTAAATCAGTTCTGTTGCTACTGCTGTTTCTTCTTCTCATAGTTTTCCAAAACCTCAATGTCGGTAATGTGCTTGCGTGGGTAGTAGGACAGCCTGGCGTCATCTGGTCGGATGACCAGGTATGTGTGTTTGTGTCTCGACCAGTAGTGATCTTTGTTGTCCATAACGCTGAGCTTGTAGGAGACGCCAAAAACGGTGATGCCCATGAGGCCCAGAGTAAAAAAGAGATAGGGCTCTTGGTGAAAGCCCTGACGAACCTCCTTCACCAGTTGTTGCCAGCGCAATCGAAGAAACAGCATCTTGGTGGAGGTGCTCTAGGTGCTTCGAGGTGAACTGAAAATGACAAAAGCTGTTAGAAAGGTAATTGCATCTAAAAAATGTGAATCAAGTTTTAATCTGAAAATTTGATCTAAAATGCTGACTTACGGTTCCAAGAGAATGTGATTAGGATGAAAACCAGTCAAAATTCTGGTAAATAACCTTTACCAAAGTTGTTGTGTTGTGCTGCACTGCAGTCAGCTGACAAAATCGCTGTTCTGCCGCACATCGATTGTTGCAATCGATGAAATTCAAATATTTTTTTTCAGAAGTTGAATCCAAATTCAGGTACTAAACTTCAAAACACTTTGTTCTTAGTTTTACAAAAAACAATTAGCTTTTAAGTGTAATGAGATTTTTAACCTAAACTTTTTTATTTGATTTTTTTAGCTTGGAGCAGTGGTAGCCCAAAAAACGGATGAGCAAGTTCATTTTAAATTATTAACGCCAGGTAAAGACAAAATGCCATTTATTTGCGCCTGACCGTTCTCTAATCTAATTATCGCAGCCACAAAAAGACAATTTGAGGCGGACAATTACCCACTCCTTCCAATTCAGTGACTGAAGAAGAGAACGGAAAGAGCCGATTAATCAGGTAATGGTCTATGCAAATGCTCCATTCGGTAGGTAATGATGAAATAAATCTTGAAGAAGTATTGAAGAAGTCTACCGAGAAGGGAAAACCGACTTGTCATGTATCCTTTCCGACTCTCCTCTAAAAAAGCAGTTTCCAGGTTAGGAAAGTGACGCAACCAAAGATGCCCGGGAATGACTCCCAATGGCAGCAGCAGCAGAATTGGCAGTTTGTGTGTGTGTCGATGTACCGATGTTCTCCACTGATTTGATTAGCAGTGCGACAAGCTTTTCCAATATTTGCATATCACAGGATGACGATAGTGGTGGTCAGTGCTCTTTGCAGTCTTTGATAGCAATTCATCTCTTAGCTTGACGATGACACTCGAATTTGCTTTGAAATTTCTATTTGCCGCTAGATAAACACAGCACCGGCAATCAACTTACAATTGATTTGCCTACCATCATCAGATTCCGGTCGAATGCTGGTACTGTCCTTAATTTAAAGTTCCCTACAATTGGGCGCACGTCAATAAGGTACCTTGAAAGATTGCCCTCCTTTCCTGTCACTTCGTTTGGTGGTCTGTTCGGTCAGCACCGGAACTTTTACCTCGTTAGACAGCGTTTTCAGGGAAACAGGACCAGCAACCCTTGCTGCTTGCCTTGGAAACCACGGCATTTGAATCTCGAATTGCGCCACCACCACCAGCAGCAGCATCTCACTGTCGTACTGAGTACCTGTGGGTAAACAGTGAAGCCGTGGCATATTGGGTGCTGGTGGTATATTTAGCAGTAATTCGATTAAAAATTGAAAGCTGTACCTTGAGTTTTTCCCTAAGTGCAGAAGCCACCACCACCAGCACAGGTGAACTTCTCGTGCTTCCTACGACCATCGTCACACACACACACACACACACATACGTCTCTCCGTTTGTTGCGTACACCGTACACTCACTCACCGACAGACAATGGCAGTTGACTGCCTGGTAATTAATTTGCCTTAATCGAATTAGACCGATGGCGGCGGCAAATGGAACCGATTTGAGACAACGGCAGCAACAATCGAAAAAACCGCAATTTGAAATAGTACAGCAGGACCAAAATGGAGGAGGAAGAAAACGACGGCAACCATCATTCTCGAGACAGTTAAGGGGAAACCTGGAACACTACTGTATCTTTTTCAGCCTCTCCTCCAGACGATGTCTTAATTCAATTTACGTCCTGCAAATGGCCTCTGCGCTGCAATGGCGGTGGTGCAGCCGCCGGTAGTCACGATCGCCCCTCATTCGCCATCGATTGAAGTTGTGATCAGGTTGAATCTCCTCTTCTTCTCCACTCTTGTTAAGCCCTCTCCCACGNTGGCGGCGGCAAATGGAACCGATTTGAGACAACGGCAGCAACAATCGAAAAAACCGCAATTTGAAATAGTACAGCAGGACCAAAATGGAGGAGGAAGAAAACGACGGCAACCATCATTCTCGAGACAGTTAAGGGGAAACCTGGAACACTACTGTATCTTTTTCAGCCTCTCCTCCAGACGATGTCTTAATTCAATTTACGTCCTGCAAATGGCCTCTGCGCTGCAATGGCGGTGGTGCAGCCGCCGGTAGTCACGATCGCCCCTCATTCGCCATCGATTGAAGTTGTGATCAGGTTGAATCTCCTCTTCTTCTCCACTCTTGTTAAGCCCTCTCCCACTCTGACGCTATATACCTGGCTTGTAATTGGACAACTACCCGAATTAGCGAGGGTGGTGGTGGTCTTCTGTGCAGCTGTGAAGAGGGACTGAATGTAACCGACCGAGCCAATCGCGCCTAATTTTGGCCGCATTTTTAGTTCGACAGTTTAGTTGACATTTAAAAAGATTTACGCCAAGTGAATACTTTTAGCTTTTCGCTCCGCTGAGCCTGAACTAACTTCCAGGCCACAAGTAGGCCACAAACTGCACCGACGTTTTCACTCTAAAACAAACAGCAAAAGCCAAAAAGGAAAACACAGAATCGAATTCGAATCTCAATCTTCCTCTCTCTCTCTCTCTCACTCATTTTCAAGGAAGTGGCACCCCAACGTTTGCAATGACAAACATCAGCAGAAGCAGCAGCATTGACCAGCACCACACTTTCCATTCCGCCCGACAGGTGAGCTGACCACTGAAGCAGAGGCAGCAGCAGCAGCACCAGCAAACAAGTGGCGCATGTCCCAAGTGTGGCTTACCCACTCCTTCGCTCGTCTCTCACTCTTTCTCACTCTCGAAAAGTAGTCGAGACTTTTTGTATAAAAAGGCGACACTTACGGGCAAAGTGTCATCAATCCGAGTACCACCACCACAATCTGATCTGAATTATTACTCCCCATTCAAAACTTTTCTACCCTTTTCTACGCTTTTCAGCACTTCTCTTTTCTCGACTACTCTTGATTTTTTACCACTGATCATCTGAGGCAAAATAAGAGGATAAAAGAAGAGGTGATAAATCGAACGGCTCGTTACAATGCTCTACCACTCTCATCGGTTGACGAAAAACAGTTTACCCGTTGCTCTTCTCTGCAGTGGCAACATGTCCCTTCTCAAGATGACCACTGTTTTCTGTGCTTCGCTCTTCCTTGTCGGCTGTAGCTTAACCATGGCGGCGCCGACGAATGAGGTGATGGAGGCCGATGAGGCGGCCGCTCTTGCACACGGCATCTCCGGCGGTGCTGGTGGTGATAGACTGCAAAATGAGCTCGCCATGGTCTTCCCCAATGAGAACATCAGCGTTGAACAGTTCAACGTAAGTAAATTAAACCCTTTTTTCAATTTCAATTTTTAGCTTTACCCTTTTTCTAATTTTTTAAACCATTTGTAGAAACTCTTTGGTGATCGTTTGCGAACTCTCTTTCTCTCCTTTCCCAACGACAAAATGATCAAGCGCGACGATGACATTCCTCCGGGCTTCATTGGTGTTCGCGGACGGCGGGGTTCCCGATCACCGAGAGACTTTCAGGAGATTCTTCGATCTCTGCTGAACAACGGCAGTCCAGGCGGACAGCTGATGGTGACGCCGGAGATGCACAACTTCATCAAGGGACAGATGAAGAAAAGCGACTCGAACAATGTCTACAAGGACGGGTTCCTCGGTGTTCGAGGTTAAAGGGCTTTTTGGGTAATTTTAAATTTGATGAAACTGAAGACGGGAGTCACCATCTTTTTGATGAGGCCGTGTCTTTAAAGACACAAACAGTAGGACAAGCACCTGCACACAAACTAACTCACACACTCAATTGGCAACAACGACAAAAACCAAAAACAGCACTCAGACATGATGTTTGTTTTTTTCGCCCAGTTCTCTCTTCCTCCATTTTTCACCCTCACTCCTAGCACTGTGCAATTGAATGCTCATCAATCGCAGTTTTTTCTTTTTTATTTAGCAGACACATTTTTCATCAGGAAGGGACAGCAATACTGCGTGTGTGTGTGTTTACCCAACACAACTTAACTTACCTCCCAAAAAGACAGTCACACACTCACACTCACACAACTGGAAGGAAAACGATCTCACCGATATCTCGGGCACCGATCAAATTAATGTACCTATTGTTTTGTTATATCATTATTACTCTCTTGGTTGGACACTCTCTTGGCAATATCTTTACTGGATCTCTGGACAATTCTCTTTATTAGCCTCTTCTCTTTAATCCAAACATTACACCTAACACTAAAACTAATAAAGCGACCATGAACTCTGCAATAATTACTTGGCGCGCAAATGTTTTTTGTTCATTTTTGCGGGCCGTCATCTATGAAAGTGAGAAGTTCTCCGGCGGAGAACACTTCCCTGCGAAGTTTACTGTTTACAAACATTGACCAGACTGCTTTGTCAAAATCAGCGGATTTATAGTTGGGCAAATAACAACGGGCGCCAATTCCTTTTATCGCCAAGTTACCCTACCAAGAGTACTTGGACGCTTTTACAACTGTTGCCACAAAGTTATTTTTGTGGAAAAATATGGCGTTTCTTCAGGTTTGTTTAGTGTTTGCGCTGAGACCGTTTTCAGCGAAGATAAACTCTAATTACTGTTTTTGTCGGCTAGTGGAGACGTTTTAATTTCTTTGAAAAGGACTTTATTTCTGGACCGTTTGCAGAACTGGTCAAGGTAATTGAATATACATTTTATGGGCAAAAAATTAACAAAAAGTTCAATTTTAATTAGTTTTCTCAAATAACCTGTTCATCATCTGGAAATGGATATCTCTTTTTCGGAGACATTTCCGGTCTTGTGTACATTGTGTCTCGATCACACAGGGTAAATATTTTGCTGTAACTTTTATTATCATAATAAAATTTAATTTTGAGTAGGTATTTACCTTTTTAGCCCACAAAGTGGCCGTTACTCACTGCTCGGCAATTGTCAATCGTGGGAGTGCAGCCAACTCTAAGCTGCATTTAATCACAATCGGAACAGATAGTGATGACTTATTGCCAGTGCTGAAAGTTTGGCGAATTAATGATTCAGCCCTTTCGGCGGATACTGAAGATCTCCTTCAATCTTCGGCAAACACCACGGGCAGCGAAGGTACCGAGTTAGAGGCACCGAGACCAGGGAGCAACAACAAAACTCCCATTGGCACTTGCGTTCGCAGTATCAAGTTCAGTCACAGTACACCACAGCTGGCGGCCCTAAGCCCACACGTCTCCGTAACGGTGCTCGATTCACTGAATGACTCGCTGGTTGTGGTAGGCTTTAATGACGGCCACTGTCTGACAGTGCGGGGCGAGCTGACCCGAGATACGCGAAATATCAAACTGAAGCTACTGCAGGTGTCCTCCACGGGAAACTCAATCACCGGTGTGGCCTTCTGCAGTCACACGCGAACCTACAAGCCCACTTCCAAGGCCTTCAGAACATTCAATGCAAACACCTCGGGAACACGACAGCAAATTGTGCTCTTCGTATCAACCCGTAATGAGATTTGCATCTTTGATCTCACACACCGAGAATCGAAAGAGAAGGAGCTTAAAACAGTATTAGGTTTGCGTTGATTACCCCTAATCAGAGGTTTGGTAGTATTTCATTTCTTTTCTGTTGCCCTTTCAGACTCCTTTGGCTGTGACATTGGCTGCAGTTGTCTGAAGAGAGATCCCAAACAACTTGAACCGATACAGTTTGTTGTCGGGCGAAATGACGCCATCTACTTCTACAACATCGACGGACGCGGGCCTAGCCTTGCCTATGACGGCCAGAAGACATTTCTCTACTGGTTCAAAAACTACCTGGTGGTGGTGACGCTGAATGATGTGATGAATCGCTCGACACAGTCTCCCTCTTCGTCTTCTTTTTCTGCCGCATCCTCTTCACTGCTGAGCAGTGCCACGGCGAATCTCATCACCATCTACGACATTGCCCGCAAGTTCATCGCCTTCTCCAGTCCCCTGCCCGCCGTGAACCAGGTCATCGCCGAGTGGGGCCAGCTGTACATTCTGACGGTGGACAAGCGCGTCGCCGTCTTCAACGAGTGCGACACGCCGGCCAAGCTGGAGTTGCTCTTCCGAAAGAATCAGTTCTCACTGGCAATTGATCTGGCAAAGGCGCAGTCGTACAGTGCCGACTCTCTGGCGGACATGTTCAAGCAGTACGGCGACCACCTCTACTCGACGGGCGACTTTGAGGGCGCCATCGCCCAGTACTGCCAGACGATTGGCATTCTCGAGCCGTCCTACGTGATACGAAAGTTCTTGGACCTGCAGCGAATTCACAACCTGACGGCGTACCTGCAGGAGCTGCACAAGCGACGAGTGGCCACTGAGGACCACACTACCCTTCTCATAAACTGCTACGTCAAGTTGAAGGATGAGCGTAAGCTGAATGAGTTTCTCCGGCCCTCGGACACTGTCTTTGATGTGGACACGGCTATTCGTGTGCTGCGCCAGGCTGGCTACTTTGATTATGCGGTGATGCTGGCGAAGAGACACGGTCGCTATGATGCCTACTTCTGTACACTGCTCGAAGACAAGGCAGACTTTCGAAGTGTGCTTCAGACGTTCAGGGAACTGCTCAAGGAGGAAAGGGGAGACATGGTCAGTCAGTATCTCAGCAAGTACGGACGACTTTTGATGGCTGATGAGCCTCATCAGACGACACAACTTTTGAAGACACTTTCAGCGCACTTGCTCAGACAGAATGTCAAAAGTCGGTCAATCATTCTATCTGGCAATCAAAGTTCAGGTAAGTTTTGTGGGTTTACTAAACTGAACTGCTATTAAACAAAACTATCGTTGTAGATTTAAGCAACGTGTTTGACATGACCGACTTTGCTTCAGCATTACACGACGACAGTCTCGACAATTCTGAGTTTAGATGTGAGAAGTTTCTGCACATCTTCCTCAACCACCCGGCAAAACTCATTGAGTACCTGGAGTTTATCATCGCCGAATCAAAGTCAATCGTTGACGCCGAGGGAAACAGTATTCCTGTTTCGTTTGAAATAAGCAATACACTACTAGAAATGTACCTCTACTCGTACAAGAGTCAAATTAGAGAAGACGTAAGTAAAAACAGTTTGATTCTATTTTTTTGTAGTACTAAAAACCTTTCTTCTCTCTAGGGTTTGGCTGAAAACGAGGCAAAGATTATGAGTTTTCTGCGCAATGAAGGCGCAAACTACGACTCAAAGAGGGCGATGATCATCTGTCAGATGAGCAACTTCACCCCTGGCGTTCTTTACCTCTACGAGAAAAGCCAGATGTTCAAGCAGATTCTGGCGTACTATGTTTCACGTGGCGACAGTGACAAGGTGATTGAAGTCTGCAAGCAGTACAGTGAAAAGGCGCCCAATCTGTGGGTGGACGCACTATGGTACTTTGCTGAGCGTTACAATGCTGGGCAGGAAGCAAACATTTTACTGGTTTTGAAAGGTAAGCATTGTTGAGATGATCTATAAAAGTTTGTGTCAAAACTATTGATTTCTGATTAGAAATAGAACAGCAGAAGCTACTGCCACCGCTTATGGTAATGGAGATCGTCTTAAGACATGGCAAAGTGACATTGGGAGTGCTACATGACTACCTGACACGATGTATTAGCGCTGAACATGAGGAAATAGAAAAGGAGGAACAGCAGATTAAGGCGAATCAAGAAGAGTGCGAGACGATTCGCGCCCAAATTGAGGACCTCAGAGAGAAGCCGCGCATCATTCAGGCGTCCAAGTGCTCTGCCTGCACACATCCACTGGAGCTGCCCTCGGTGCACTTTGTGTGCGGCCATTCATTTCACGGCAACTGCTTTGAAAGCTTCAAGGGAAATGGTGAAGAGGAAGAGGAGGACTGTCCGCTGTGTCTGGACAAGAATCGGTAAGACTCTTAAGGGCTTACTTAAGTGACTTAACTTCACTAAAACCTTCCTTTTCACGTTTAGTTCAATACTGAATGAGGTCAGCCAACTTGACAGCGTGAAGAACGTCAATGAGCTCTTTCAGCAGGAGCTGTCGCAGAGCAAGGAGCCCTTTGAGGTGATCGGTCGCTACACCAGTCAGGGCCTTTTTGACCCGTTGACCACCGGTGAATAGAATTAACTGCGAATTGGTTTCTTGTGAAGAAAAGGGACTCATGATCATCACCGAGTTTGGCCATCATCGTAGCGAAATATTGTGCAAAAATAAAAGTGAAAACATTTACGTTTGCTTCTCAAGAGTAAAACAGTTTGGCATGACTCTGATGATCACGCGCTGTCATTGCAAAGGGCACATTCTCCTTAAATTGTGTGCCAGAAAATCAAACTGCTAGTGACACTGCAGTTACATCAAAATGGCGCCAATAACGGGAGGATGCGATGAGGTGCACTACTACTACTACTACTTCTGCAGTAGTTTGGTTGAACGAAAGAGTTTGCCAAGGAAGGAAGGGAAAGTATTACTTGCAAAAAGTCAGAAGAAGAAAAAGAAGTGAACATGCCGAATATGGCTCAAGCCCACCGACATTTCCACGTCAAATATCCACTGGAAGCCAGTCAGAGCCAACCAGAGACTCCGACACTATAACTGCGGCAACACTTTTTGTGTCATCTACATTCGTTTCACGCCTTGTTTTGGCAAGTAATCAAGAGTTAAGGGATAAGTGAAGCGTTTTATCACTGGCTCCCAGCGGCGGCAAGTGTAAGTCACCTCCGTCAGACGCATCCTCCCTCGTCGACTTGATGCTTCGCTACAATTTCACTTTGCTACCACTAAATAGAAGCAATTTTCTTGCCTCCATCTTTTGCCTCCATCATCCGTTTCAGAAGAGAGGGAAGAAGTGGTTTATCAAATCTCAGAGGTAGTACTATCGCTGAATCAAATCGCGCCAACGCTCGCTAACTTGTAAACAATTTTTGGAAGCACTCCAATGCAGTGATAAGCGGTCCTGTACACAGGACACACTAGCATGATGAAGACAAGGCCAATGAGAGTGCCGCCGGTGTGAGTATGTGTTGGCCAACTCAGGACAATTTCTCCCCTCCCTCTCTACTGATGAATGAAAAAGGTGACCGAGACAGTGCTCGCAGGGGACGTCTTTCGGCAATCGGCAATCAATACTAGACAAATGGAGCAGTAGACTGATAGAGCCAGAAGAAAAAGCAGTGTCAATGCTCATTCACTGATGAGCTGATAAGCGTTTTTCGCGGTAATTGGCGGTTGTTGTTGTTGTGATGCGACAGTGACAGTTCGGCGCTTTGTGCTTACCTCTGCTTCTTCGGTGTGCAACCACTAAATCATCAATTTAGATTGGGTTTCTGATAGCAAAAAAATTAGAATTTTAGTTGAACTTAGTTTAAACTTTCTGTATCAAGTTTGAGTTTTTTCATTGGTGAAGAAGCTGTTCACTCCGCTGAACTGTATTTTCTTCCAGGACTATTTGTCCTTTGTTGAATGGAGTCCTGGAACCTGTAACAAAAACATTTCTTTGGTAAAAACAATACTGCTGCGCAAACGTCGTTAAAGGTGATAGTACAGGAGCTCTTTCAAGGTATTGGAGCTCTAAAAGGACTATTGTTGAAATGTCTAACCTCTAATCTAGTTGGCATTTTGATCTAAACACAAGGACTTTTAATTAATTTTAATTTCATTGGTTGATACGCAGTGTTTGCACACACCAGTTTGCCTCGATTAAATAGTTTGAAAGGAGTTCGTTTTTTCTTATGTTAGCAATTGCTTGGAAATTTAGTTTTCCTTCACTAATGTTAGCAGATGATGGCCCTCTGACTATCAACACTGTGTGGTGCCCGCTTGTGCAAGAGTACAAAGTTAATATTTTTCAATTAATTGTGGTAGTCGCCTGTATAAGATAAGCGTCTTACTGGCAGACAGACTGGTCCAGTCGCGTGCCCACCACTGTCCACAATATGGTAGTCTTTTCCAGCAGTAGCCTTGTGCAAATGATTAGATCTGCAAACAGATTGCTTTCTTTGAATTTTTATTTTTAATTTGATCAGCTAATCTAAGATACAGTCAATTTATATTGGCATCAATAACCAAATAAAATTGTTTTTGTCAATCAGCAGATTTGTGAACTCTGAAACTGTTTTCCAAAGGGTAACAATTTGCGTTGCGATCACCATCAAAGACGTTTCAGCAGCAGTGTGTCCTTGCTCGTCTAATGTCGCATGATGTCTCTCCTGCACTAGAATTATACCCAAATGCTGTCAGGAAAGAGAGAGAGAGAGAGAGAGAGAGAGGATGATTTCACAATTGGAGAAATCACTGCAATATTGTTGCCACCCTCAACTTCTGATCACAGGATGCTCGGCAAAGTTGCCGCTGCCACCTAAGCCGCTCAGCGTCAGCGCTCTGCAGCCCACTCCAATCTGCATCATATCGGCGCCATTGATTGAGTCAGGCGGCACTATCAGCACCGTTGAATGATGGTCGCTTGCTTCGTCCTCTTCTTTTTCTTCTTCACCACTCTTCGATTGGCTTTCCCACCCGAAGCCAGTTTGATGCTGTCTTCTGATTTGAAGCGGCACCACTACCATCACCACCGCCACCACCGGCGTCACATTATTCACCAGCGCACACTTGCCAAGGAAATCCTTGAACTTGGGTATGGAAGTTCAGAAGAAGCAAGAGAGTGTGTTTGTGTAAGTGTGCCTGTCTGTGCTGCCGATGCACTTCGGCGCTTCTTCATCTTCTGCTGATACCGGCACTTGTCATTCAAATCACACTGCTGGGTGCGGTGACAGTCATGTGATCAACCCCTTTTATTGAGCGGGTGTCACCTTTTATGTGCTACAGTTTGGATAAACAAATGGAGTCGGCTCCTTTCATCTTGCATTCTAAAAACTCCACAATACTCAAACAATATTTCAAGCTAGTTTAGGCAAGTTAGTTTTTGCCATCAAAAGTTGCCTAAAAGTGTAGTTGTCTTTTCTATGAAATCTGAAATAAAATAGCAAGCACGTTAGTGACTTTTATTTTATCAGAGAATAATGGCAATTTGCCATGAATACAAGTGTTGCAAGTTTGTAAATTTTATGAACAAGAAGAAGCAGCAGCAGCTGTGCAAGTTGTCCTGAAACGTTGTAGTTGTTGGTGAAGTTGGCGGTGATGTCTCATGACATTGANTAAATTTTATGAACAAGAAGAAGCAGCAGCAGCTGTGCAAGTTGTCCTGAAACGTTGTAGTTGTTGGTGAAGTTGGCGGTGATGTCTCATGGCATTGAAGGCTTGAAAACGAGGGAACAGAAGCGAGCCCATGAACGATAAAGGAGGGCGAGAATGCGTTTGATAGAGCAGTGTGAAGGTCACAAGGACTAGGAACGTCAGGCTGCAGTTGATGCTATCGCCATCATTTCGGTAGATTGATCATCAGTTGTCGGTATCAGTTCAGTGCATCA